TGGCTCAGCGTAATGATTGGAACGCGAACCGGATGAGCTCATAGATGCTCCTTGATAGTTTGTTTCACAATACTCTCCATATTGGCCTTGAGTGCTGTGAACTGGTCCACTTCATATATTCCAACTTTTAGTTGAGGAGCGCGGTTGTCATACCAATATTTAGCATTGGAGGTTAGACATTCAACTAACTCTTCATTCTCCTCGGGAGACATCTTAAGAAAATACCCAACCTTAGAGGAATGGTCAAGTTCTTTCTTGGACGGAACTAGTAAGCCTTGGTAGAAGTAAAACATTAAACTATCTGCTTCCATTAGTGCCGGAGGGCATTTAATCTTTAGCTCCTTAAATCGGTCCCACGCTTCACTTAGTGACTCTGATGGAGATTGGCGAAAGTTTTGGATCGAGTTCTTAATCTTCATAATGGCTGAAGGAGGAAAGTACTCATGTATAAATGCCCGGTAAAGTGTCTCTCATGTCTTAAAATTACCATGGGGAAACCTATTCAACCATCTCGCTGCCCGATCTCAAAGTGAGAAAGGGAACAATGAGATTTTGATACGATCCATAGATAACCCATTGGTTTGAAAAGGTTGACATGTTCATGAAAACCACAACATGTGCGCTCTTGGATCTTCAGCTTTTGAACCTCCAGACTAGTTATTCGATACCATTTGGATCATAGCTGCTTTGATCTCAACGGCATGGGCTTCGCTTGCTGGGAGTCCTATTGGATCCTCCTCTGTGTAAGCGGGACTCATGGCTTGAAGAATCGTTCTTCGCGGGTTCTCCGCCATCTCTTCTTTTCTCTCGCTTTCTTCTTCTTCTTGTTCTGAAGGTCGCTCTTGTTCCTCTGAATCTTCCTCTCCATTTCCTTCGTCACTGAACCTCAGTTGATGTGGAATTCGAGTTGTTCGTCGGTGAAATAATATTTCAGGATTATTTGTTCCCGGAAGAATATTATTTCCGCGAGAGCGAGTGTTCATAAAAAGTCATAAAAACTATCCTAGATTATCCTAAATTAAATTTATAATAATTTTTTTTAATAAATTCAAAATTAATTAATTTATTTTAGTTTTAAAATAAATTTTAATTTTTGCTATTTTTAGAAGGAATTTAGATTTTTTTTTGAAAATCGACCCTATCAACATTCTCTCAGGTAAGCTTAAAATATCCTTCTAGCAGCTTTCTACGCAAATCCCTGGCAACGGCACCATTTGTAAAAAGATTTTTTAGTAAAGGGGGAATCAACTTGACCATAGATTATTTTATTCCCGTGTCGTCTCTAGGATCGGCCCAAGGGAAAGTGACAGTAGGATTGTAGCTAAACAAGATTTACCAATTGATTTGGAAAGTTCTCAAATATTGAAGCTTTAAAAAGGTGGTGATTTGTATCACGATTTAAAAGACATGAATGTAATTCATTTTTAGGAAATGACTATTTATAGACAATTTTTATTAGTTAGAATAACTCTCATTTCAAAACCTTACTACTAGTGAGTAAATATCATTAGATATTTATTCAATAATTAATTCTAATTTTAGGAATTAATTATTATTATTAAAGGATATGACTTTTAATCTTGATCATAATTTCTTAATGAGCAGGATTACCTTTTCAAGATTTGATTAATAATTTCTCAATTAATTAATCACAATAAAAATTCAGAATAATAACTAGTAATAAACTTATAGAAAAATATTCCAACATAATTTCATCTAAAAATTATTATTACCCTAGTATGAATCACATCCCTAATAAAGTTAGTACCTCATAATAGTGGATCTAAATATGCATTCATAAAAGAAAGACATAATTGAATTCATAATTAAAATGAGAGAAAACGTACTTTTATGCTTTTGCAGAAATGGGAGATCCGGGCTATAACTTGTACCGAGAAAACTCCGAAAAAAACTAAACAAAATTATAAAGTGAGAAGAGAGCTCGAAACTCTTAAAAGCATAGTTTTCAGAACCGGACCGGTGACCGAACCGGTCAAGGTACTTGACTTGTTTGTTGATCAAAGAAAGGAAGTTGCTCAAACTGCCCCACAAAGAAGGAAGTTAGAAGCTGCCAAATTCGCTGTAACATCTTCTGCCAGACCCGCTGAATCATCTCATAAGTTTAATGAAGTGACACCTCCTAGTCATGAGAGTGAGAAGTTTATGACTATGAAAAAATGGGCATTGGGCATGTGTAAAAGAGCATTTGATGGGAATCGGTTTGGTATACTCAGATCCCGCTTGGGTTTGTGCACACCCATCTCTACCTGATTTAGAAGATGCTCTAAGAGGTGTTTCATCTCCAGCGTGGAATACCTTAGAGCATAGATGTTTTTTGCTGGTTGTATACATGTCTTTTTCTTCTTGCAGATTATTACTTTTTCAGATGGATCGTCCGAGAGGGAGTCACTCAATATGGCTCAGGTTGATGTGACAAAGTATAGGTCTATTTTGATATTCATTATTGTAATGCTCAAGCTCACTTGAATGTTATTCTTCTCTTTTTGTCCCAATATTCTTAATAAAACCTTTGGCATTTTTTATGCAAAAAAGGGGGAGAAGAGGTTCAAAGCAGCTGAGATTCGTTTTTGTGAAAAAATTGCCAAAGGGGAAGATCGTTAGTTCCAAATTGTGTTGACATTATTTTTTGACAAACGAATAGATTTACCTAGAATTATTTTAGATGTTTTACTTAGACTTAGAGTCCTAACATGTGAAGGAAGAGAAAGAGGAAAGAGCTTGAAAAGAGAATTCTAATCCTACTTAGTTTGCTCTTCTTAAGGAGGAAGCCATGAAAGAACTGAAGCAAATCCAAAAAAAAGAAAAACAAGGTGCAGAGTTTGAGAGTGCAAATTTTTTGGACAGCCCGCACAGATTTGATCATCGTCGGAGATCCGACCGTTGGACCGTTCAGAGAGTGTTCCCAACACATATAGCTTCACTGTGTTAAATGTTCACATCTATCGGAGTTACGGATCTTCTGTTATCGAAGTTACAATCTGCATATTGCCGCTGATTTTTTGCACAGAATGCAGCTCTGGTTTTGTCTATGATGGGAGTACCAAATCTTGTCCGATCGTGCTGAAATTTTAGGAGGAGTCTAAGGACTCGTGGAGCTTCAATCTCGATTTATGAGCTTCGGATCAGCCTGCATATTTTTGTAGATCAAGGAGAATCTTTATTTGAAGGTATACTGGAATCTACGTCCTTGAAGAAGATCTTTGAGAAGGCGTAACAAGCCGTGGAGATAGACGTAAACCGAGTTTGTCGTCAAGTCATTCGTAAGTAGATAGATCAAAACATTAGAAGGTTCTATTGTGATTGATTGTGTAATTCTTACGGTGATTTAGTGGAAGGGCTATTACACGGACGTGGGCGTAGCAGACATAGGAGAATTTGCTCCGAACTGCGTGAACAATTCTGGTGTCTTGCTTACTGTTTTTACTTTATATTCTACGTATGTGCTTGTGACAGAGAAGGTGTTGTAGCACTCTGTCTATCATCTGTTACTGTGACAGTACGTGCTGCAGTATCTTCTCTACAACATAGTTGTTTGATCTGTTTGCGTAGTTTTCAATTGGTGATTTCTGCTGCAGCCCCACAAACTTACAGTTCCTAGTTCATATCTCTCCTACACCCCGTCTCCGGGGGAGGGGTATAGGTAGAAAAAATCAATATTCATAACGGAGCATTACGAGTGTCTCTGGTTATTTAAAGGTCAAATTAATCAAAGTAAAATGAAACGTGGTGATAAGTACAATATTACTGTCATTTTTGAAAATCAATTAATGTATGTCTAGAATACTAGGTAGTATGAAATACCTAATAACATTAGCTAATAAGAAGTGTATTGATCATTATCTATATATGTGGGATATTTACCTGATTCTACTGATCCATCTAGTTAACCTTTATCCCGTTAATTTTCACTCTTTTTGCCCGTAAGTTATCATCTTCTTCCGAATAACGAGTAAAATCTCTTTTTTTAAAAAATTAATTTATTTTAAAAATTAATCTAAAATAAAATAGTATAAATTGCATATTTTAAAATTACATAAAAGGATTGACTCCAGTGAGATGACACCTTATGGTGCGATGACATGCTTCGGTCAGATGACGCAAAGCTCACCACTGCCCACTACAATGCTCACCAAGCACAACTACAAAGCTCACCAAACTGTAAGACAAAGCTCACCATATTTTTTTCATCACTTTGAATTTTTTTTGAAAAAATAAAATCAAAAGAAGGGGTGCTGACTAGACTTTGACCGTTGACTCCAGCATTGACCGCCCCCTGCCGCCTCCAGTCGCCGGTCACCGTCGCCGCTGCTCCGCCGCCTGCCGCCGCCATTGACCGGTGGTTGACCGGTGTTGCTATTTTATTTTTCATTAATTTTTTAATTTTCAAAATTAAAAAAAAGTGAATTTTGGAATTCAAAGTGGTGAGCTTTGCTTTATTTCCAGGTGAGCTTTGCATTGTTCATTGGTGAGCTTTGTAATGTAGTGTGGTGAGCTTTGCGTCATCTGAGCATGTCATTGCACCGTAAGGTGTCATCTCAATGGAGTCAATCCCTTACATAAAAAATTAGACTAATCAAAGTAATTGAGAAAGGACGATAATTTAGAGACAAAATGTATTAGGAACATGTGTTGGACTTTGTAAAAAAAGAAAACCTAATTATTAGGTCCCGTTTGTAAAATTGACTGTTTTACTACCACTAGCCCCGATAAACCCCCGTTCCCTTCAATTGCACCACACAAGTTAATTTTGACTTTGGAGTCAAAATTAACTTGTGGAGTGCAATTGAAGAGAGTGGCGGTATGTTCGGGTCGGACCATGGTAGAGATTTACCAGAAGATTAGAGAAGGTAAGAAGCATTAATTTACAAACAGGGCACCAGAGCGTGCCTGAATCCTCCCCGTGATATTGTCGGATAATATCATGGAATGGTCCAGTATAAATTATAAAAAGATTTAAGGTGTGCACCTTAATTTGACAATAAGACAATTTTACGCTAGGCGCGCCTGAAAGCAACTTACCAAAAAAAACCTCGTCAAAGCAGACAATCAGAAAAGTAAAATATGGACAGGGGAGGAGAAAATGGCGTCACCATCGGTCGCCGTAATGGAGGGGTTGAGAGTTGGAAGATTTGGAAGACGGGAATTGAATCAAACATATATCGACGACCCCTTTCATAAATACTTCTCCCTCTTCTCTCCTTCCAATCATCCACGCATGTGTTTACCTTTCTTTCTCCCTCACACAGATTTACACAACTCCGAGCAATTCTGTTTTGTTTTGTTTTGTTTTTCGAAGATGAAATGAATGAATTAATGTTTCGAAAAAGAGAGAGGTCGCAGGGGGCTGTTTCGGAATGCTGAAAAATATGGTGAAGACCCGAAGCAGCGGCAGAAGCGGCAGAGTTTCACCCAAATGGATCCTCGTTTTATCGCTCCTCAGTTTCGCCTTTGGGATGCTCTTTTCCACCAGGTTATTTGTTTTTTATGTCTCTTTTTCTTCTTTTCATTTTCCCTTTGTTGATGATGGCTTTCGATTCCCCTCCAAAAAAATAATTTTTGATTTGATTTTATTATTGAATTATGAAATCCTTGTAGAGTATGGGCTCCTCTTGAAATGGATGATGGCAGGATGTTGTTTGGCCGCCGAATTAAGCAACAAAAGCTCGACGATTGCGACACCACTGTTGATCAGGTCCAAGCCATATCTTTTTTTTTCGTTCTGATTTTGGTATATGATTCACGGATTCTTCAACTAAGTGTCAGTTCCCGTAGCCGAAACGTCCCCATTTGAGTAATTGGGACGTCTCTGAAGCCAAATAATTTGGAAAAAAGTTTGTGTTTTCCCCGTTGCAGCTTAGATTTTGGTTGTTTGATTTCTGTTTTTGTGTGGGTTTTCTACTCTTATTTAATTCCATATTTCATTCAGGAGAAGAAGAGAGTAATTGGTGACTTCAGCAAAGTCCAGGAAACCACCGAGTGAGCATTGATGATGAATCTCTTTATCACCGCCCTTCGTTGACTAATCTATATGATTGTGATTTATTATTTCTATTCCTTGTTTTGAACTTTTTGAATTTGTAATTCAGTAATTGGTGATATGATGTTAATACTTATTTTAATTACAAGTTTGAGAAAGTGCACGATATAAAGGTGTTTCCAAACTTCATTGTTTCGATCTTTGACTGTTTATCAGAGACCTGGGCAATTCATTTCCTCAAGTTCGAGATGAGCTACAGTTGTCTAGGAGTTCTGATAACGTGGAAAGTTTTGGTAAGCTGTCTGCCACTGTCGGTGATAAGTCTGATGGATCGAGGACAAGGAAGAAAGCTTTTATGGTTATTGGAATAAACACAGCCTTCAGTAGCAGAAAGAGGCGCGATTCTGTTAGACAAACATGGCTACCTCAAGGTTTTCATTTCTGTAGCATCTTTGCAATGGTTTGTGGACCGTTTGGTAGTGTTATTCGGCTGAAATGGATGAATTTTCTGAACAGGAAAAGCATTCCGTAACACCCATTTCAGCCATATAAACAAGTCAAAGCTTCTTATTCTGATTAATCTATTGATATATGCATAATGACTCAGATAAGGCTACCACTACCAAACAGGGCCCCAAGCTCTTTGTCATTCTTTCATGCTCGTTTATTTATATATTGATTTTACCAGGCGAGAAGCTGCTTAAATTAGAAGAAGACAAGGGAATTGTTGTGCGATTTATGATTGGCCACAGGTAGTACTTTAATGTTTTATAATGTTCTATGAACTTTAGCTTCAAGGCTACTGCAGAAGTGGTGAAATAGGTTGGTAAGCCTTATTAGCTTTACCCTTTGATTCAGTGCAACATCCAATAGCGTTTTAGATCGAGCAGTTGATCTGGAAGATGCTCAGCACAAAGACATTCTCAGGCTTGTACGTTGAATTTCTAATACTTGATTTGTCTTTGGGTTTATTTGGTTTTCAGCGGTTGCTTAAAATTCTGGAAATAATTGATGCAAAAAAAAGCAGCTAAATATTAAATGGTGAAGACCAAACAATGCCTATGTGCAATACCGTCTTTTATTCATCAATATAACACTTGTTTTTTGGTATTGTGCAGGAGCATATAGAGGGATATCATGAACTCTCTGCAAAGACAAAATCTTTCATTTCCACTGCCTATGCAAGATGGGATGCTGAGTTCTATGTCAAGATTGATGATGATGTTCACGTCAACTTGGGTAGTATTTTCTCTATTGGTCTCCTTTTTATATATGTAGTGCTAACAATAGTTCAGGAGTGGTTTTTTTCCCTTAATTTTTATGATACATTTAGATACTAAGTCTTAAATGAAGGTACACTTGCTGCAACTCTTTCCCGACACCGTCTCAAACCCAGGGTGTATATTGGTTGTATGAAATCCGGACCAGTTCTTTACAGCAAGTGCGTTACTATTAAGCTTTTACATTCCATGTTTTTTTAAAGACAGAGTATTAAATTGTTGTTTGGAGTTTATAGTGTTCCCTCCCCCAAATCTCTGATTGGTTTTATTAATGTTAACATTTTCTTTGGAAGGAATGTGAAGTACCACGAACCTGAGTACTGGAGATTTGGAGATATGGGAAATAAGTACTTCAGACATGCAACTGGACAGATATATGCCATCTCAAAAGATCTGGCAAAGTTCATTTCCGACAACGAGTAATCACGATTAATGTTTTTTTTTATTCCTTTCTGTTCTTGTAGAATATAATGCCGGAAATCCGGTAGTAATATGTGGTGGTTACAGGCAAATCTTACACAAGTATGCAAATGAAGATGTATCCCTAGGGGCATGGCTGATTGGTCTTGATGTCGAACACATTGATGACAGAAACATGTGTTGTGGAACTCCGCCAGGTTTTTATCACTTTCTTCTTCTTCTTCTTTCTCACCCCACCATCCGAACGCGATATACAGAATCTTCTGGGCGAAGTAACATAAAAAAAATGCACTCTTCTGCAGAATGCGAGTGGAAACTTCAAGCAGGGAATGCATGTGTGGCATCATTTGATTGGTCTTGCAGCGGAATCTGCAAATCGGTGGAGAGAATAAAGCAAGTCCATGACAAGTGCAGTGAGGGCGCCGAGGCTCTCTGGGGGTTACCTCTTTTGACAAGTAAGAAGTAGCATATATACTTAATATACTTGTATACTAGGGAGAAAAACTGTCAAAGTTGCCCCAATATATGGGGAGAGATATGAAAGAGAAACCAAGTCCAAATTTTGAGGAGGTACGTTAATGCACAATGAGACCTGAATTATACATATGCTGTAGTGATCTCTAGTTCAATTCATTCAGACGTTTTTGCAGCTTTATGTGGGTTTTTACTTTTTTTTAAAAAAAAAAATTATGTATTTCTGTGATAGTAGTCTCAGCTTTGTAATAGGCCATATTGAAAATCAAACGAAAATGGAAAGTTGAACTTATGGCATCACTTCTTTTGGAGCTCATTTTATTCACAGATTTATAAGTTAAATGCTTTGAATTTTGGTAATTTGGTGAACTACCCTCATCCGCATAAGATTTACTCCAAGTTACTTAATTTCGTATTAATTTTGTACTCTGTAAATTTTTCTAAATAAATTTCAACCATACATTTTCATGTTTTTATATTCTTAAATTTTGGGAAGTTAAACTATAATTTTTTCTTATGAAACGAATGAAATTTCTTTGTCCTTCCTAATTTGTAAAATATTTGGGAAATCCCATATAGGGTACACTAAGGTAAAAATAGATACACATAGACATTCAATGCATGTTCGTGCACAAATATTTAGTATTTGTGTGTTTTTTTTTACCTTAGTGTACACCAAGTGAGATCTTCCCAGCATCCCTCTTTGTTAATTTAATTTTTATCTGGACAAGGTTTCCATGGCATTAAGTTTGAATGTCATTGGATGATATTTGTCCCAATTGAGTCACTTACGGTACCCGATTTATAAATTGGTAGTTCTAACCTCTCATGATTTCTTGTTAAACTCTCACTTTGGTCCGACCCGAACTCACCCCTTCTAATTGGACACCTCAATTTTAGATTAAAATTCATGTTACAATTGAAAGGGATAGACTCGTTGGCAGAGTAAGGGAACTTACCGGGGGTGGATGTAGGAATTACTCCGTATAAATTTTACGAAATTTTACGAATCAAGCACTATAAATGCCTAATTGAGAGTAATGTCATCCCATGACATTTAGTTGATCCCTTGACATTAAAATTTAATGTCATACTTGCCATGGTGATATAAATCATTACCTCGTACAATGTTTTTTAGCTACATATTTGCTGTTGAATGCTTTTTTTCTCACAATCATACTCCCTCCATCCCATAATTGATTACAATTTTGTTTTCTCTTATCTCTCGATAATTTTTATTTATTTGTTTGTTTCATTGATTATTTGATAAAATAAAATATTTTTGTTCGCTCTTATTTGTAGAACTTTCGATGTAATTTTGTAATATATAATTTTTATTTTTTATTGATATACCAATTTGTAAATAAAATGATTTCAAAAGATGAAAAATTTTGCATCGTAAATCCAATTTGTAATCAGATTTGGAACGGAGAATATCATTCTATGTAGCATTCTATTGATATACCAATTCGATAACTTTTACTTATTTGTTTATTTTCATTGATTATTTGATACAGTAAAATAAAATATTTTTGTCCTCTCTTAATTGTAGAACTTTTGACGTAATTTTTTAATATATAATTTTTATTTTTTATTGATATACCAATTTGTAAATAAAATGATTTCAAAAGATTAGAAATTTTACCTCGTAAATCCCAATTTGCAATCAGATTTGGGACGGATGGAGTATCATTCTATGTGGCATTCAAGGCTCTATCTTCTTCCTTTTTCTTGAGGGTATGCCTAGACCTAGAAGATAAAAATACTTAGTATTTGCAATGGACATAATTTCGTTGTAAATTTCTGTCGCAGATCTGCGATGAAAAAGAAATGTCGTAGCTGATTTTGGTGGCGCGCTTGGGTGCCGCTATAGCACATACTCCGTATAAAAGAAATAAATGTTGTACAATTTGTAGTATAATAAAGAATTCTGGTAAAATTATCCTCTATTTTTAAAAGGAGTTATATTCATAAATAATCCGTTTGATATACCTTAAGTGGATAAATATTACTCAAACTTTCAAATTTTGAAAAATAGTCCATGTGGTCATAAAATCGTTGGCTAATTAGTTCATTCTTTCATTGTGATATGTAAGTTTTAACTGTAATAGAATATCTTTTTTCTTTTTGTTCAACTCTAACAATAACTACTTCATGTCTTTTATAGTAATTTTAATATCTTGAAAAGTAGTACAATGTTTAAAATTTACTCGACATTATTTTATTCTTCAAATAATTTTATTATAGGGTAATGTAGTATCATATAAGAGGTGGAAGATGACTTTTCCCTGCTTTTAACCATGAAGACGAGAAAAATTGTTTAGATTAGCTCTTTATTTTGTTATATGTTTCACATTTTTGTATAGTATGCACGTGTTTTACATTTTTCTTAAAGAAATGACTAATTATGAAACAATTTTATGATTGTATGGATTATGTCACATTTTGTAAAGCTCGAAGACTATTTATTCACTTATTGTTGAGTTGTTCATCCCACATCGGCAATGCAGCCTTATATTGTGTTGTCATTTAATAGTTGGGTACCGCACTCTCTTGAGTTGACTTTTGGAGTTGAATTGAGCCCAAGTCTAATGTTTCAACACTTATGAAAGAATGGGAAGACTATTTAGTCATATAACCTCTTTAAAAATATGAATAAAAATACTTAATTATAAGAGGGTTTCAAAATCCATCCTAACAATGTTTATATTCACCATTTTCAAATAAATTGGCTAAATCTACACTAATTTAAATTTAAAGTAATGAGAATAGATTTAGCAAATATAGATAAAATGTATGGATCCAACCATTTTGGAGATAGATCATAGATTTAGCAACACTCAATTAAAAATATGAATAAAAATAAAACAATACCAAGTTATACTAGTGTTAATTTTGGTTCCGGAATTGCCGGAAGAATGACAAAACTAAATCATTTTACAGAGTACTAGAGAATAGGGAATAGTTTCACACAAATGGAGTGGCCCCAGTCAGAGTACTCCCGTAATGCATAGTCCCTCCCGGTGAGGATCCATGCCGAGTGGCGTCGTATATTTCACCGTCGCCCCACACGGCGTAGGCCTCCTCGCCGTGGACGGCGTCGTCTCCTATCTTGAGCTCCTCTTCCGGCATCCTCAGCGGGACAACTAACCCAATCGCGAAACAAATGATGGACGTCACCACGACGTTCCACCCGATGACGAAACTGCCGCCGACGAACTGCTTGAGGAATTGAATCCCGCCGGATCCGCCGTAGACCGCGCCTCGCGAATTGGTCACAGGGAGGAAGAGGTTGCAGAGAACCGGCTCGGCGAAGAGGCCGGTGAGGCAGCCTCCGAGGAGACCGGCGACGGCGTGGGTGTGGAAGACGCCCAGAGTGTCGTCGATGTTTTGGAGTAGGGTCCACCGCTTGTGGAGGATCATCATTGTGAGCCACGGGATGCTTCCGGATAGAATTCCCATTATTATGGCCGCCCATCCTTGAACCAAACCTGTTTCATTCCCACACACTTTTCACTTTTGGCTAGATAATCAATGTTAATGCTAAAAAAACACCCTCTTTCCTTTTATACTCCGTATAAAACTTTGAGTGCTAAAAATCTTTTTGTCTTCTACATCACTTTCTACCACACATTTTTACTTTTTTTTAAATTTTGTGTTAAGTCAAACTGTGAGCTTTTTTTTTGGACGGAGGGAGTATTCAAATTCCTCCAAATACTGTTAGGCTCCGTTTGATACATGGAATTCAAACTATGGAATTGGAATTGAGGACTTCAATTCCAATTCTATTGTTTGGTAGCACAAAAATTATGTAGATTTGGAATTGATAGTGCAAAAAATGAATTGAAATTGACAGAATTCAATTCTATGGAATTGAATCCCATGGAATTACAATTCCAATTCAATTCCAATTCCACCAATTCCATGTACCAAACGGACCCTTAGATGTATTGCGGCCAGTGGGAAGTGTATTGTGAAAAGATTGTATGTGTTCATAAAGTTGGAAAATTACACTAACTTTTATGCTTATTTCGGTCCTTTTCTTATGATTTAAAATGCAAATAATAAAGTGGAGGGAGGTGAGGAGTGCATATATAATACTCCCTCCGTCCCAAAAAATTTGTTACAATTCGAAAAAACTGTGTCCCGTAAAGTCCGTTACATTTTTATTAAAAAATCATTTTTACCCCTTACTTTTTCATACCCTACCTATCACATCATACCTTTTTTCTAATAATCTACCTATCACATCCTATTTGTTGGGTTTGTGGAGGCTTGGGCTTGACTTTTGGCCCGGCCCATGTTACGAAACCCTAGATGCACTCTTCCTATATATATTGCATACTTGTACTTGTAATCGGCACCATAAGTGAAATAAGAAAATCCTCCTGTTGCAGCCGTGGATTAAGGAAACCGAACCACGTTAAATTCTTGTGTGTCGTTTGTGTTTCGTTTATCTCGTTTCTCGCAGATTATTTGTGTGTGTTGTGTGTTTATTCCTAACAAGTGGTATCGGAGCCAATTGTTCAACACGAACACAAATTGCTAGAAGATTTGTCACCTAGGGTTCTTGTGTGAAGAACCGTGTGGGATCCAGATCGCTCGGGTGTGTGGCCGTTCAATTGAGGAGCGCCGCTGTGTAGGCTATTTGTGTAGCGGCAGAAGCTGTGACGTTGAGGAGCAGCCGTTGAGTGACCCGCGCACAAATTTGCCGGGGATCTCAGCCGTCATCCGCCGTCCAGATCCGCCGCCGCCACGTTAAGGAGCCGCCGCGAAGCCGCGCCGTTTCAGATCGTGCCTACACCGTCAAATCAGATCGTCGTCGCTGGAAAACTAAACGCGGCAGGAGCGAGAGAGATTTGCCGCTTGAGTGGAGATCTGCCGCCGTCGTCCAGCGAGAGCACCGCCGCCGATTGCTCCCCGTGCTGCCACCGTCTGGTTTGCTAAGAAAAACTTCAGCCGCCAATTGAAAATCCTGATCGAATAAAAAAAAAGTGGGAGGTTGGGCCGTAAACCTGGTCAGCCCACTTGTTTGTTTTTTTTGGGTTTTTTTTATTGGATTTGGACTTTTGGTTTGGGCTAATTTAATTGAAGTGGTGGACCTGATTTTCTGACGAAATTACCAAGATCTGAAATTAGTTGTACAGGGTATCTTGTCTAGTCATGTGATATGGCAGAAGACGGGAAGTTCCGAATTGAAAAGTTCGATGGTATAGATTTCAGTTGGTGGAGGATGCAAATTGAAGATTTGCTTGTTCAGAAAGATTTGGACGCGGTATTGGGTGACAAGCCAGAAAAGATGTCAGATGCAGATTGAGCAGGGTTGGATCGGAAAGCAATGTCCGTGATCCGTCTCTCGTTGACCAAGAATGTTGCGTTCAACATTCTGAAGGAGAAGACAGCGAAGGGAATTATGGACGCGCTGTCTAACATGTACGAGAAGCCATCTGCAGCGAACAAAGTTTTTCTGATAAGAGAGCTGGTGAACACAAAAATGAAAGAAGGCACTTCAGTTACCGAGCATATCAACAAGTTGAATTCGATCTTAGCCAGACTATTGTCAGTGGGCATTAAGTTCGATGATGAAGTTCAAGCTTTACTACTGCTATCGTCTTTACCTGATAATTGGTCCGGAACGGTTACTGTAGTTACCGATTCAGTGGGACCCGATGGATTCACCTTTGATCAGATTCGAGATCTCGTTCTTGGCGAGGACGTCAGAAGAAAGAGTTCAGGGGAGTCATCTGATGAATTGCTTCATGTTGGTAGAGGCAGAAGAAATAGCAGAGGTAGTGGGAGCAGGAACAGACGAAGGAGTCAGTCGAAGACTCGGGATAGCTCAGGTGTGACGTGCTGGAAGTGCAAGGAGGTGGGGCATTTTAGGAATCAATGCCCAAATGATAATAAAGTAAACATTGCTCAAGGCTTTGCGAGTGACGAGGAGGTCGCTCTGACTTGCTGTGAGGAAAGCAATGTGGATTCATGGGTCATGGATTCTGGTACTTCATTGCATGCCACCCACAACGGTGAAGCATTGCAGAATCTGGTTATTAGAGACTTTGGAAAGATACGACTAGCGGACGACAGAGCTCTTGATGTGACGGGCATGGGTGAAATAGTGCTGAAGACCCCAGCCGGTTTCTGGACTTTGAAGGATGTCAAAGTTGTTCTAGCATTGAAGAAAAGTTTGATTTCTGTCAGGCAGTTGGACGAACAGGGACATGAGGTGAAGTTCAGAGATGGGCAGTGGAAGGTCGTGAAGGGAAACCTTATCATGGCCCATGGAAAGAAGAGAGGTTCGCTGTATATGGTCGAGTTACCATCTGAGGGAGTGACCGTCCCAGTTCAGAAGAGAAACAAAGTCCGGTTCACAGAGTCTCGTGGGCAGAATAAGGTTGTCTGTGCAAGAGAGAAACCTAGAGCCACTGGTCAGAATAAGGTATTTGTGGCAGTGGGATCTCAAGAGGCGCTTCAGCCAAGTTGCCTAGAAGACAGTGGGTCAGGAGAACCAGTATTCCAGCTGTTGGAACATCTCCAGAAAATTTCTTGCTGAGTATGGAGAGTGTTTGTTCTCAGGATGTTCCAGGATCCGGCAGTGTGTGTCTGCAGTGGGAGCCGGTAGGGACCGAGGACGAGTTAGGGGCAGATTTTGCCGTGACTGATGTGTTGGAGGTTGGGAGAGCTTCAACGGGCCTTTCTGTTGTCTGATGATAGGGCCGCTGCAACAGGAGAGTTGAGGAAGATTACTCGATGTACAGGGAATCGTGGTGGATGGCAGTTGATGACTATCAAGCCTCCAAGTGGGAGAATGTTGGGTTTGTGGATGCTTAGGCTTGACTTTTGGCCCGGCCCATGTTACGAAACCCTAGATGCACTCTTCCTATATATATTGCATACTTGTACTTGTAATCGGCACCACAAGTGAAATAAGAAAATCTTCCTGTTGCAGCCGTGGATTAGGAAAACCGAACCACGTTAAATTCTTGTGTGTCGTTTGTGTTCCGTTTATCTCGTTTCTTGCAGATTATTTGTGTGTGTTGTGTGTTTATTCCTAACACTATTTTTACCCATCACATTAAGGGTATTTTTGGAAAGTCAATACCAAAATATCTCTCCCTTAATTTTCCAAAAAGTCAAACCGTCCCATTCTTTTTGGGACGGAGGGAGTATATATGTGCATACATACCTGCACCGGGAGTGATGCAGACGAGGCCAGTGATCATTCCCTGAACAGCTCCAATGACAGATGGCTTATGGAAAAAAATGACATCAAGCCATGTCCAAACTAGCAAGCTGGTGGCGGCACAGATGTTGGTGTTGAGCACCGCTAGGGAGGAGTCGATGTTGGCGGCGTATGGGTCTCCGCCGTTGAACCCGGCCCACCCCATCCATAGCAGCCCTGCGCCGGCTAGCATCAACACCACATTGTTTGGCGGGAACCGCTCTCGGTCTGCTTTACATCTTGGCCCCACCTATATTTATTCCATAGATTATTGATATATTATGGGGGGAATGCGGTCTCTTGATGTACGTGATATTACTAGAACATCGCTCTTATTTAAACGGTTTGTAGGCTCGAGTCCACGTTTTAGATATGAAGATGCAAGAGTCACTAACATTTCACAAATTTCACAAACCTGTCTTTTGTGGATTTTAAGTTTAAATACTCCCTTCGTTCCTAAATAAACTTTCAATTTCGTTTTTTCTTTGTCCCCAAATAAACTTCTCTTTTACCTTAAAAAACTCCTTTACTCCTTACTTTTTCATATCATATCTATAACACTATACCTTTTTACTAATAATCTACGTATCACATCTTACTTTTACACATCACATCAAGGGTATTTTTGGAAAGTCAACACAAAAATATCCCTCCCTTAAATCCTCAAAAAATCAAAAAGGGAAGTTTATTTAGAGACGGAGGGAGTATTTTTTTTTTATTTGAGTGCATTTTGTTCCTAGTAAAATGTTAAAAAGAAAAAAATATTTGAATTTTATGAATTGTTTGTTTGTGACTCTAGGATTACTCTTTTAGATAAGGACCCTTTCTTTATAAAAAATAATGAGCCCCTTCCCCGAGAGCTTATTTAAACCTGATCAGACAATTATTGAGCAAAGATAAATTAAAATTTAATCGCATATTACTGGTAAAAAGTGGAGTTTACATTTAATACATACAGATACCTTATGTTTAGCATAATTCTCTCTCAACGTAGTTGGTAGAAATCGAACTTGGATCTATCCCCTTAACACTCTTTACCATAACAGCAATGTAATGTAAGAGTGTTGACAGTGTGAAAGAAAAATGATGAAAATGTAATATGGCAGTGTGATCATGCAATCATCGGCTAACCATTAGTCAACGTCGGCAATCAATAGTGGTACTCTAGTGGCCGCAGCGACGAGTGGCAGTTGTAGTGTCAAAATGTGAGGAGCGTGATAGTGTAACAATGACAGTGTAAACACTTTTTTTGGTCTTAAAAGACCTATGATTCCTATTTTGATATTTTCATAATTTTTTTTACTCTTATCCGAAGAGTTCTCCCAAAAATATTACAATGAATCTGGTTTGTAACAATAATAGTTAAACATATGAAAAAACTTTTTAAAAAATAATACTACCTCCGTCTCAGTAGTGTATTTGTCTAGTTTGACTTTTTCGAGTTAAATTGGACAAACTTTGAACTCGAATACTCTCAATTTATATTGAATATTAGCATAATGAAATACAATTTTGAAATTTCTCAATACGATAAATCCAATAAATTCATTTTTATGTTAAAATACATTACGGTTTTTATTTAATTAAAATTCAAAATTTGTCGAGTTTGACTCGAAAAAGTCAAACTGGACAAACACACTGGGACGGAAGGAGTATACATTTCAATATTTTTTTATTTTTTCCAACATATTTTATTTTTTTCCAACATTTTCTAATTACTTCTAATTTTTCCAACTATTTCTAGTTTCTCCAACTCCTTACTGATTCTTCAACTCCTAGTTTTTTTTCAACTTCTCTCACTTTACCTTCAACTCTTTTGGTTTTGATCTAACATTTAAGATTGAAATTCTAACTCAAAAGAGCAAACCTTTAGTTTTGTTCTTCATAAATTTTTTTGAAACTTCTTCATAAATACTCTCTCCGTCCCTGAAAAGCTTTCTCCTTTCTTTTTTCATATGTCCCTAAAAATACTTCTCATTTCTATTAAAAAGTCACTTTTACCCTTTACTTTTTCATACCCTACTTATCACATCATACCTTTTTACTAATAATCTATCTATCAAATCATACTCTTACCTATCACATCAAAGAACATTTTTAGAAATTCAATACCAAAATACAATCTCTTTAAATCTTTCTTCAAAATCAAAACTTCCATGTTTTTCGGGACGGAGGGAGTATTTAATTGGTGTTCTTTCCAAGTAAGTTTGGATTAGGTCAAGTGTGGGTGATATTTTGTTTAGTAAGTTTGGGTATGAATCGAGTCAAGGTGATTAACATGAGTAGATTTCAATTAAAGTATCTTCTCTTTGCCTAATCTGATCTGTTTTTCTGATTATATGGTCTATCTGTATTTAATAAGAATAAGCTAAGTAATAAGCTGAAAAAATAAATTGAACGGAAAGAAGCCTAAGGCTTTGAGTCAAGTAAGTATCGGGTAGGATCGGTCAAATTTCGATCAATTTACTTTCATGTTAATGTAAAATTTGAATGCAGAGTATGAGTTTTTGAATTTTGGCTATGTGAATTGAAGTCAAAATATAATGTATACTATCCCTCCGTTCAGAAGTTCTTTTCCCACTTTATTTTTTGGTCAAGATGTGTAAATTTTTGCATCGATATACAAAAAATACAATGTGTTATATGTTGTGGGTTCAGCCCATTTTCATTTGGGTTCCATTTTTCTTTGTGGGGGTCCAATAATAGGAAAGTTTTTCCTTTACTTTGTTGACTAACGAAAAGGAGAAAAAAGGGCTGGGCAGTGGCAGTGCAGCCAGTGCTTACGGACAGAGCAGAGAAAAAAAAACAGAATAGAGAGAGGAAAGGTGCTGGTGCAGAATTTACAGACCAGCCACACAAATTCGATCATCGCCGGAGATCCGACCGTTGGATTGAGCTGAAATTTTCAGAGGTTGTTCCCAAAACTTAGGGCTTCAATCTGTTCAAGTTTCACATTGATCGGAGCTACGGATCTTCTGTAATCGCAGCTGGTGCGACGCTGCGTTTTTTGGGTGATAATCCTGATTTTCCTTCTCTATTGTTGATGCCTCTTATGTATGTTGTTGTTGGTGGGCTGTGACATCTTTGTAGACTGAGTTTGGGTGTTTTTACCCTCAATTTTCATAATAAGAGAAGAAGAGGGCGGACTCCCTATTAGTCCCGTGGTTTTTATCCTTCACATCGAAGAGGTTTTCCACGTATAAAAATTGTGTGTCGTTTGCATCTTTATTCTTCATATTTGATTGTGGTTTATTTGATGTGCTGCTGATTTTGTGTGCTTGGTTAATCAATTGTGGTAAATTGGGTCAAGTGTTTGGTTGGTTGTCTTGAAGTTGATCCTAGGTGTTCTATCTTGTTGCTTCTCCCCCAACATTATAATATCCTCCGTAAATGTATTACTCCGTATAATTAATATGAATAAATTCCTTGTTTTGAAATGTGGTATTGAAATATCAAGATTTTTTAAAATATAGTTAGGCCCCGTTTGGCATCAGCGTTAGAGATTAGCGTTAGCGTTTTCAAAAAGCTATCCGACGGTAGCCTTTAGCGTTAGCGTTTTTAGATTTAATCTACACCATTAAAATTTTATCCAAAACGCTAACGCTAATCGAAAACTCTGTTACCAAACGAAGCCTTAGTATAAGTATAAATATTAATAGTCAAAGTATAACAATGGATACCAAAAAAAGTCATATGGAAATAAAATTTTCGAACGGAGGCAATATCATCCGTTTTAGTAAGAGAACTTAGTAAACCAAATTTTATTGAAGTAGTATTTGGGAACTAGAAATAATTTGAAATGTTATATTTCAATTTCAATAATTGAAATCTCATACTTTCAAATTCCAATATGGAATTGTTGTTGCATAGGGGTATATCGATCATGCTTTATTTACAAATTACAAGTTATAAATTAAAAAGAAGTTGAGTTTGAATTTGTAAATAACACGGGAAGAGGTGTTAATTTGTAATTGGCTTAATTTTGAATTTGAAAATTTTGATCTAAAAACAAGTCATTTGAATCGAATCAAAATTTGAAATCCAAAATCAATTCAGGTTCCCAAACTCACCGTTAGTTTATTATTACGATTTATGAATATGTCATTAGATTACATGGGACATTTTCTTTTTAGGAGGGATTTAAGGGAGTGTATTTTGGTATTAAATTTCCAAAAATGTCCTTTGATGTGATGGGTAAAAGTATGATTTGATGGATAGATTATTAGTAAAAAGGTATGATGTGATAGTTAGGGTATGAAAAAGTAAGGGGTAAAAGTGACTTTTTAATAGAAATGAGAAGTGTTTTGTGGGACGGGTAAAAAAAGAAAAGGGAAATGTTTCACGGGACGGAGGGAATAATAAATAGATTATTATTTCATTGACAAGTTTTTGTGTGGGCCTTAATTCCATACTTATTATATATATGGAACTTGAAATATCGAATAATTAAATGTATTGACCTTGTATAACGAAAGAAATCCAACTAAAAAACTAATCTTCAATAGAAAGTAAATCATAAAGAAAATACTAAAATAAGAGTTCCATGTATTTATCCCCAAAATAAAAGTTTGTATTGTTGTATTGTGGCACTGCGTATGGACATTTCACAATAATTTTTGATAATGTATATGATCTTTATTTTATTGACATTGTTTATGCATTTTAACTCCTATTTTAGAAATTAAATCATGAAAAACATATTTTAAAATATTTCCTATGTTTTACATATATTTTAGTCCTTTTCTCATCCAACTAGGAGCTGATAAAAATAAGTGAGAAAATTTACATTTCACATGTAGATCATATAAGTAGAGTAATACAACCTACTTCAATGTGTCATATGAGCCAATTGATCGGATTGAAGAATATGATTCGTATTTCATCTCATTGTAATGAACTACACATTGACTCAATTATTATCTTTTCAAATACTCGATGAGATTTTTAATTCTCATTTCTGAAACATTGAATAATGAATTATTGAATACTCCCTCCGTGCTATATTATTTACCCATTTTTTATTTTTTTCAATTAAATTTAATGAATTTTGACTATTAATTAAACAAAATTACACCACAATTCTTTTCACGCGGATTATTTTGATTATTAGTAAAATTGTTGTTTCCAAACGTCAAACCTCTCCCCTTAAACTCCTGTCTTTCTAGATTGTCGATTTAGGCCGCTCAAATCGATGATCTAGGAGAAGCTTAGTGGGGTGCTTGGGGGCAGGGTTATTCAGATTATAATTGAATTCGAATAATATTTGGATCGATTTGGGCACCTTGGAAATGATTTTTGAAAATTGACTTTTAGAAATGGAGTTATTTTTAATTTTCTTTGGTGTTTGGAGGAAAGTAGGGGTAAGAATGGTATTGTATGATACAATAGTTAGCTCATACTAGTACCCTGCAAAATATTTTGGTTCGGCGTGAAATTTTATGCCGTACCAATTTTGATTGTGAAATTTGCACTAAATAGGACTAAAACATAATGATCTTCCTAATGTAAGACTTGAACTTTTTTATTTCCTAAATAGGACTTAATAATGACCTATAGAAGGAATAATGTCCAGTAGTGATAGACATTTACTTGAATAATGACTACTTGATAATGACCAAAGGTCCTACATTGAGAAATAAAAACATATGGTCCTATATTGGAAATGTCATTATGTTTTAGTCTTATTTAGGTAAATTTCTCTTATTAAATTTTAAAATTAGAATACTAGTATTCCCTCTACTGTACAAGTATTCTAAATGTCTATATTAATTTTTCATATCATATTTTAACTTAGATCATGTTCTTTTGGATCAAAATTTCAGAATAAGATGTTGAAAGGACTGGAAGGTGATGGAAGAAGCTAAAATAAAATTGAAAAATGGAAAGACTTTAAAAATCTTGAAAGAATTATAATGTACCAAACAAAATAAAGAATCTTATTTTGAGGAGAAAAAAATATATCTATCTAATGAAAATTCTAAATAATCACTTGCCCACAATTAACTGCGTAGATTTGATTTATTACGAGCAAACACTCCACCTTTTCAAAATTGATCACATTTTTTTTGAAATGAAATTGATCACATTTATTTATTACTATAAAAACTAATGGTTTCACAAACAGGTCATAAATAATTATTCAAAAAAAAGGCAGAAATAAACCAAGCAGTTCCCTCCTTAATTTATAAAAAAATGTCTTCGAACTTTTAAAAGTTATGAAATAGTCTCTATCGTCAAAAAATCATTGCATAATTAGTCCTTGAATGAAAACGTGAAGAACATAAAACACATGCGTATTATGTGGAGATGTGAAGCATGTGTAAGTGTGTAACAATAAAAAATTTGATCTGGAGTTTAATTGTGATGTATAAGCTAGCTTGAATGGTAGTAAATGTCTTCTATTTTTTGTTGGGTAAATTTCAACCATGGTATACGAACTTTCATCATTATTTCACTTCGGTATATAAACTTTAATTTCTATTACAAAAGTACACGAACTTTCAACATTCTTTCAAATTTAAATTAAATAAAGAAGAAGAAGAAGAAGAAAGAATGGGTGTGTGGGGGGAGGGCTGGCTGGGAAAGAGGAAGAGAGAGAAGGGAGGGAAAGGTGAGGTCAAAATAAAAAATTTAAATTTATAAAATTATAATTTTACCCCAAATGACCTGAAGGTGACCTAGAAACCGACTGTTGGACCATCGGTGAAATAATGTTGAAAGTTCGTGTACTTTTGTGATAGAAATTAAAGTTTATATATCGAAGTGAAATAATGATGAAAGTTCATATACCATGGGTGAAATTTATCCATTTTTTGTTCAATTCTCAAAGTAACTTTTTCAATTTATGTCTTCCATAGTGATTTTTTTAATAGTAGTACAATGTTCTAAATGAGATCGACATAATTTTGTTCTTCAAGTAACTACTCCTTCCGTTCTCAAAAACACTTCCTCTTTAATTTTTTCTACTTCCAACAAAACACTTCCACTTTCTATTAAAAAATCATTTTTACCCTTACTTTTTTATACCCTACCTATCAGATCATACTTTTTCTCTCATAATCTATTCATCACATCTTACTTTTACCCATCACATAAGGGGCAAAATTTGAAGTTAACTATAATTTAACACTTTCTTATTTTGGTTCCAAGTCAAAATAGGAAACCTTTTTGCAAACGAAGGGAGTATATTTTAGGGAAATAACATGTGTGCTATATATCAGAGGTGACAAAAGGACTCTTTTATATATTTAATCATGAAAACGAGGGTAACTTTAATGTGAAATTTGTCCTAAATAGGACTAAAACATAATGACTTTCCTAATGTAGGACTTAAACTTTTTTATTCCCTAAATAAGACTTAATAATGACCTAGTGGGAGGAATAATGTCCAGTAATGATGGACATTTACTTGAATAATGACTACTTCATAATGACCAAAGATCCTACATTGGAAAATAAAAACATATGATCCTATATTGGGAAAGTCATTATGTTTTAGTCCTATTTAGGTAAATTTCTCAATTTTAATTTGTTAGATTAGTTTTTTTATTTTGTTTCATGCTTCACATTTTCGCATTGTATGTGCGTATTTTAATTTGTGTGCTTCATGTTTGACCTAAAGGAAAGACTATCTATGCACCAGTTGTTTGACCCTAAGGATTAGGTAGTATTTTAAAATTTTTGAAAGTACAAGGACTATTTACCAACTCAAGAAAGATTACAATGACTGTTTCTGCATTTAACTAAAAAAATCTTTCAACTTTTCTTTTTGTGCGTCTAGCCAAATCCTTTACCTCGTTCTTGAAATGTTTGTCTACTTTTAACTTTTGGCAAATTCTTTTATGCTCCTAGGATACACTCTCATTTTATTAACCTTAGTATATAAATAACATAAATGAATGTGTCCTTTAAAAAATAAAATATTGATATTAATTAATATTGGTATTAGATATTGACAAACTTTATAGTCAAAATTGACAAAGTTTGACTAATAATTAATATTGATACAAAAACATTTTTAGTAAATTTAACTTGTAAAATATTTTAAAAATATTATTCTTTCTAATTAATATATCATATAATTTTTATTTAATTGTCTTTTAAATTAATCCCATTTGACTACAAAAAATAAAAAATGAAAGAGAGGAAGAGAGTAGTCGTATTTACTAGGTCAAAGTCCCGAATATAAAAAAGTAATTGTCTACGTAGCAATAATGTACATACCCAGTAAGCGGCGGTGATTCCGGCGATACCGGAAGAGAGATGGATGACATAGCCGCCGGAGTAGTCCATGACACCCCAGTGGAATAGAAAACCGCCGCCCCAGAGGCTGAACGCCCCCACCGTGTATGAGAATGTCAGCCACAGCGGCACGAACATCATCCACGCCCTGAAGTTCATCCTCCCCAGCAGCGACCCCGCCACCAACACCGGCGCGATCGCCGCGAAAACCCCTTGGAACCACACCTAGCCATTACCCACGGCGGAGCAAGCCACCGCACGTAAGAATGATAATTTACCATATTAACCAATCCAATCAATGATCAATGAATCTAAGGGGAATTTACGTAATTAAATAGCACAAAAGATAAAGACTTTCTCTAAATAGCATCGTACTCCCTCTGTCACACTCTTTTTGTCCACTTACCTTTTGTCATACCATCTAATGCACTTATTTAATCCATTTTATCTTGTAATTTGTATATTAAAAAATTATAAAAATTATATATTAATAATCTATATGTTAAGACAAATCAAACAAGATCACACATGACTATATTTAGGCTTACACATTGAGAGAATTTGATGAGTCAAAGTGCTTAGATGAACAGTTCAAAAAGTCAAAAATGGAAAAACAGAGTGGGACGGAGGTAGTATATGTTTTTTTTGCAATGTAACATTTTTAGTCACTATCCATTAGTCATTATTCAAGTAAATGTTCGCCACCACTGGACGTTGCGGACATTAATAAGTACTATTTAGAGAATAAAAGAATTTAAGTGCTCTTTAGCACAAATATTTCTAAATTTAAACTGAAATAATTGCATACCATGGAAGCCATGGGGTAGAGCGGAGTGGACTCGCCCGTCTCCACGGTGCCATCGGAGAAGCGGTGGACGGTGGCGGGGAGGGCGGCCTGCTGGAGGAGGAACTTCTGGCCGAGGGCGGGACCCGCTCGGCCCCAGAAAGGGAGGAGTTTGTGGCCGAAGGACATCTTGTAGGCCCAGGTGACCCAGCAGATGACGACGGCGGCGAAGGCGTAGAGCGCCATGAAGGCGGAGTTGACGGCCCATTTCTTCTTGACGATGCTGCCGTAGAGGATGACGAGGCCCGGGACGCTCTGCAGGCCCACTAAGGTGGCGGAGATCATCTGCCATGCGTTGTCCCCTTTGTTCAGCCACTCCGGCGCCGTCGAGGTGTTGTTCTGGTACGCCAGTGGCACCACCGTTGCCGCCGCCGCCGCCATTCTCCTATACTGTTAATCAAAACGCAAATACTGATCGAGTTTTCTTTCCCTCTTTGGAGAGTGGGCGACTTTTATGTATATGTATATGATGTAGCGGAATTTTGGGCGTGAGACTTGGGTAAATGTTGGTCAAATATTGTTAATTAAAGGTTAAATATACCTACCTACTTATTTCCTTTGAATAATCAACTTCCCCGTCACTATTTCTTCCCTCACTTCCTAATAAAGATTGCCACCATTTCATACTCTCTCCCTTCCCTAAAATATTATTATACCTAATTTGATATATTTTTGATCAAATAGTTACATGTTTTAAACATAAATTAAATATAATATAAATAAAGAAATGTTATAAAAATTCGATATATCAAAACTAGATTCTAAGATTAATCTAATTAAACTAAATTAATATTATAATTCAATATACTTTTCTCATAATTTGTAGTCAAAGCGTATAACTGTTTGACCAAATACTATTCAAAATGGGTAATGTTTTGTGGGAGGAGGGAGTATTTTTTAGTCAAATTGTAACAGCTTTTAACCACGAATATATTTAATACTCCCTCCGTCCCATAAAACCTTTCTCCTTTCTTTTTTCACCCGTCCCATAAAACACTTCTCATTTCTATTAAAAAGTCACTTTTACCCCTTAATTTTTCATACCCTACCTATCACATCATACATTTTTACTAATAATATACCCATCAAATCTTACTTTTACCCATCACATCAAAGGACATTTTTGGAAATTCAATACCAAAATACACTCCCTTAAATCTTTTCAAAAAACAAAACATCCCATGTTTCATGGGACGGAGGGAGTATAATTTAAAATAATAAAATATTATAAAACTTGATATATTAAAACTATATTTTAAAATAAACCCAATTTTAAAAATTTTACATTATAACTAAATATAATTTTTTCATAATTCGTAGTAAAAAAGGGTTATAATTTGACTAAAAAGGTCAAAATGTGACAAACTCTTATAAACGAAAGGAGTATTCCCCATTTCCCCCTACATACACATGTAAAGATGCATATGTAACCCCAACTACTAACCCCATTATGTCCCATATTCTTAGTTTGACTAAAAAAGGAAAAACGAATTTTGCCTTTGATAGGTAGAAAAAAATACCCTAGTACTTGACTTAATTAAAAATGTGGTGATCTAGAAGGATAGAAGGAGGGAGGTAAGTTGACGGGGTTTTTTCATGGTATCCCATCTTTGCACGTTGTAATAAAAAGATATTATATTTTTAACTTATAACAAAAAGATACCTTATCTTTAAAAAATGTACGGTAATAAAAAAGTATCCCTTATCGGAATCTCAAAAATCTGGCCAGCGAGCGTACATGTGGCGTTCTACTTAGCTCTCTGATGTATTGTCACATTTCATATGACTTCCAAATTGACTCGTAATTTATCTAATATTTGATTAACTTTGTATTTAACACATAAGTCAATTTTTTTTCTTGTAATGAAAATACGGAGGATATACTATATATGGAGAATATTTTAATTTTATTTTTAAATCGTGCTTTCTATAAGATTTTACTTTTAATTTTAGCATTTTGAAAAAAATTATAATTTATAAGATACTTCATATTTTAAACACAAGTACCAATAACATTTTAATAATTGTCTATTATATATTTTTAAAGATTTATTAGAAATTTGCTAAAATTTAAATTCTAAGAAATACGTATTATTGTTATTGATACTACTACTACGATCATCATCATTTATGTAATATCGTGTAATGAGTTTTTATAAGTTATCTAAGTGACGTTTATGCAACTTCGTGTTTATTTATTTATTAAAATTCTAACTCCAAAAGATGGTAGATATTTTAAAATTTAAATAAATAAGAAATATTGCCTTTAAGTTACAATAAAGAGAAATATTCAAAAAGTATTTGCTTGTATGGTTTGAAATATTTTGTAAATATTAAAATATGAAATTGTTGTATAAAGAAAATATAATTTTAAAAAAATTAGAGCATCACATGCAAAGTTAATAACGTATATGAGAAGTTACAAATTAATTTTGAAGTTATATGGATTGTAACATGTACACCAGAAAGCTAAGTACGTAGAACGTGACATGCATGCTCGCCGTCTAGATTTTTGAAATTCCGGCGAAGGGTACTTTTTTGTTACATTTTTTAAAAGATGGGTTATCTTTTTGTTACAAGTTAAATATGAAATACCACTAGTACAAAAATGACCAAATAAATCGCCTCATTTGCATCGTTAAGCTAAACAAACGATGTAAATGCAAAAAAAAATTCGCGTATCGCTTAGCTTTTGGATCGGTTATCCGTAATAACCGATGCAAAAAGTATTTGAATCGGTTATCACGGATAACCGATTTAAAAGCTGACCATCTTTTGGATCGGTTATTCCTTATAACCGATTTAAATACCTTTTGAATCGGTTATTAGTAATAACCGATCCAAAAGAGTGTGATAAAATTAGCCAACCTACCTTATCCTTCGCGGTTTTGAAAAAAAAACCTCCAATTCCGTTCTTCGTCTTTGTCGTGCTCTTCGTCTTCGTCGTGCTCTCCGTCGTCTTCAACTCCACACCACGCTATCGCCTTTCCCATGTCGCCCCCAAATCTGGTCTAATTGCACCGCCTTCGTCCACCTCACCTCGACGTTCGCCGTTGTTAGTGTCGCTGTCTCCAAGGGAACGGCGACAACGTCGACGACCACCTCACCCTGCCTCCGTCGCCAAGCCTCCGTCGCCAAGCCGTTTTTGCTGCCCCGCTGTCGCCAAGCCGTCGTCCCTTCCTTAAGGTATTTTTTTAGCTTTAAATATTTAATTATACTATTATTTGTTTATATATTTTTGCATTAAGTTAATATTTAATTTACTATATATGTTTTGTGTACATGTTTAAGTTGAAATTTTTCATTGTGATATACATTGTTTTTGAAAAATAGATTGTTTAATTATTTTGTGTTTGATTCTACATGTTCTGAGACGTTATAATATAGAAATAACATATATTGACCGACCTAGATACCCATTTAAAATTCACTCATTAGGAGTAAATTTTAAATAGCTCCCAGTTTGGAGCTGTTCTTGAAATGCTTCTCTCACTTAGGTAGTACATGTATTTCTTTCTCTTTGTTCCATCTCTGT